CCGGCCCGCGCAGGTCGGGCTCGCTTGAGTCGCGCACGATCCGACCAGCCCTGACGAGCCCAGGTCCGAGCAGACCCGTTTCGATCGACAGGAGGGCGCGTCGGATCTGGTCCGTGAAGATCGGGCTCGACCGAACCGGCCCGCGCAGGTCGGGCTCGCTTGAGTCGCGCACGATCCGACGAGCCCTCACTAGCCCCGGTCCGAGCAGACCCGTTTCGATCGACAGGAGGGCGCGTCGGATCTGGTACGTGAAGATCGGGCTCGACCGAACCGGCCCGCGCAGGTCGGACTCGCTTGAGTCGCGCACGATCCGACGAGCCCTGACGAGCCCAGGTCCGAGCAGACCCGTTTCGATCGACAGGAGGGCGCGTCGGATCTGGTCCGTGAAGATCGGGCTCGACCGAACCGGCCCGCGCAGGTCGGGCTCGCTTGAGTCGCGCACGATCCGACGAGCCCTCACTAGCCCCGGTCCGAGCAGACCCGTTTCGATCGACAGGAGGGCGCGTCGGATTTGGTCCGTGAGGATCGTAATAATAAATAATAATAAATTAGGATCGTGCTTGGCCGAACTGGCCCGCGCAGGTCGGGCTCGCTTGAGTCGCGCACGATCCGACGCGCCCTCACGAGCCCAGGTCCGAGCAGACCCGTTTCGATCGACAGGAGGGCGCGTCGGATTTGGTCCGTGAAGATCGGGCTCAACCGAACCGGCCCGCGCAGGTCGGGCTCGCTTGAGTCGCGCACGATTCGACGAGCCCTCACTAGCCCCGGTCCGAGCAGACCCGTTTCGATCGACAGGAGGGCGCGTCGGATCTGGTCCGTGAAGATCGGGCTCAACCGAACCGGCCCGTGCAGGTCGGGCTCGCTTGAGTCGCGCACGATCCGACCAGCCCTCACGAGCCCAGGTCCGAGCAGACCCGTTTCGATCGACAGGAGGGCGCTTCGGATTTGGTACGTGAAGATCGGGCTCGACCGAACCGGCCCGCGCAGGTCGGACTCGCTTGAGTCGCGCACGATCCGACCAGCCCTGACGAGCCCAGGTCCGAGCAGACCCGTTTCGATCGACAGGAGGGCGCGTCGGATCTGGTCCGTGAAGATCGGGCTCGACCGAACCGGCCCGCGCAGGTCGGGCTCGCTTGAGTCGCGCACGATCCGACCAGCCCTGACGAGCCCAGGTCCGAGCAGACCCGTTTCGATCGACAGGAGGGCGCTTCGGATTTGGTACGTGAAGATCGGGCTCGACCGAACCGGCCCGCGCAGGTCGGACTCGCTTGAGTCGCGCACGATCCGACCAGCCCTCACGAGCCCAGGTCCGAGCAGACCCGTTTCGATCGACAGGAGGGCGCTTCGGATTTGGTACGTGAAGATCGGGCTCGACCGAACCGGCCCGCGCAGGTCGGACTCGCTTGAGTCGCGCACGATCCGACCAGCCCTGACGAGCCCAGGTCCGAGCAGACCCGTTTCGATCGACAGGAGGGCGCGTCGGATCTGGTCCGTGAAGATCGGGCTCGACCGAACCGGCCCGCGCAGGTCGGGCTCGCTTGAGTCGCGCACGATCCGACCAGCCCTGACGAGCCCAGGTCCGAGCAGACCCGTTTCGATCGACAGGAGGGCGCGTCGGATCTGGTCCGTGAAGATCGGGCTCGACCGAACCGGCCCGCGCAGGTCGGGCTCGCTTGAGTCGCGCACGATCCGACGAGCCCTCACTAGCCCCGGTCCGAGCAGACCCGTTTCGATCGACAGGAGGGCGCGTCGGATCTGGTCCGTGAAGATCGGGCTCAACCGAACCGGCCCGTGCAGGCCGGGCTCGCTTGAGTCGCGCACGATCCGACCAGGCCTCACGAGCCCAGGTCCGAGCAGACCCGTTTCGATCGACAGGAGGGCGCGTCGGATCTGGTACGTGAAGATCGGGCTCGACCGAACCGGCCCGCGCAGGTCGGGCTCGCTTGAGTCGCGCACGATCCGACGAGCCCTCACTAGCCCAGGTCCAAGCAGACCCGTATCGATCGACAGGAGGGCGCGTCGGATTTGGTCCGTGAGGATCGTAATAATAAATAATAATAAATTAGGATCGTGCTTGGCCGAACTGGCCCGCGCAGGTCGGGCTCGCTTGAGTCGCGCACGATCCGACGCGCCCTCACGAGCCCAGGTCCGAGCAGACCCGTTTCGATCGACAGGAGGGCGCGTCGGATTTGGTCCGTGAAGATCGGGCTCAACCGAACCGGCCCGTGCAGGTCGGGCTCGCTTGAGTCGCGCACGATCCGACCAGCCCTCACGAGCCCAGGTCCGAGCAGACCCGTTTCGATCGACAGGAGGGCGCTTCGGATTTGGTACGTGAAGATCGGGCTCGACCGAACCGGCCCGCGCAGGTCGGACTCGCTTGAGTCGCGCACGATCCGACCAGCCCTGACGAGCCCAGGTCCGAGCAGACCCGTTTCGATCGACAGGAGGGCGCGTCGGATCTGGTACGTGAAGATCGGGCTCGACCGAACCGGCCCGCGCAGGTCGGGCTCGCTTGAGTCGCGCACGATCCGACCAGCCCTGACGAGCCCAGGTCCGAGCAGACCCGTTTCGATCGACAGGAGGGCGCTTCGGAT